ATTATTTTTTATTAGAAGACTGCCAATATTCTCCTGGGGAATTCTGCCAGACATTTAAAACAGAATTAATCCCAATTCTTCTCAAGCTATTCCAAAAAATAGAAATCGAAGGAAAACTCCTGGACTCGTTTTATGAAGCCAGCATCACTCTGATTCCCAAGCCAGACAGAGATCCAGCAAAAAAAGAGAACTACAGGCCAATATCCTTGATGAATACGGATGCAGAAATTCTCAACAAGATCCTTGCAAATCGAATCCAGCAGCATATAAAAAGAATCATCCACTAAGATCAAGTGGGATTCATTCCTGGGTTACAGGGCTGGTTCAACATTCGCAAATCAATCAGTGTGATACATCATATCAATAACAGAAAAGATAAAAACCATATGATCCTGTCAATAGATGCAGAAAAAGCATTTGACAAAATACAGCATCCCTTCTTAATGAAGACTCTCGAGAAAGTTGGGATAGAAGGAACCTACTTAAACATCATCAAAGCCATCTATGAGAAGCCTTCAGCTAACATCATCCTCAATGGGGAAAAACTGAGCTCTCCCCCTGAGATCAGGAACACGACAGGGATGTCCAGTCTCACCACTGTTGTTTAACATAGTGCTGGAAGTCCTAGCATCAGCCATCAGACAACAAAAGGAAATCAAAGGCATCAGAATTGGCAAAGAGGAAGTCAAACTTTCACTCTTCACAGACAACATGATACCCTACATAGAAAACCCGACAGACTCCATGCTCATGGATAGGAAGAATAAATATAGTTAAGATGTCATTACTACCTAAAGCACTCTACACATTCAATGCAATTCCAATCAAAATTGCACCAGCATACTTCTCAAAACTAGGACAAACTATCCAAAAATTTGTATGCAACCACAAAAGACCCCGAATAGCCAAAGTAATACTGAAAAATAAAACCAAAACGGGAGGTATCACCATCCCAGACTTTAGCCTCTACTACAAAGCTGTCATCATCAAGACAGTATGGTATTGGCACAAAAACAGACACATAGACCAATGGAACAGAACTGAGAACTCAGAAGTTGACCCAATAGTATACAGCCAACTGATCTTTGACAAAGCAGGAAAGAATATCCAATGGAAAAAAGACAGCCTTTTTAACAGATGGTGTTGGGAGAACTGGACAGCAACATGCAGAAGAATGAAACTAGATCATTTTCTCACACCATGCACAAAAATAAACTCAAAATGGATAAAGGACCTGAATGTGAGACAGGAAACCATCAACACCCTAGAGGAGAAAGCAGGAAACAACCTCCTTGATCTCCACCGCAGCAACTTCTTACTTGACACATCCCCAAAAGCAAGGGAATCAAGAGCAAAAATAAATGATTGGGACCTCATCAAGATTAAAAGCTTCTGCACAGCCAAGGAAACAACCCAGAAAACTAATAGGCAACCAACGGAATGGGAAAAGATAGTTGCAAATGACATATCAGATAAAGGGTTAATATCCAGAATCTATAACTCAGCAAACTACACGCCCGAAAAACAAACAACCCAGTGAAGAAATGGGCAGAAGATATGAATAGACACTTCTCCAAAGAGGACATCCAGATGGCCAACAGACACATGAAACGATGCTCAGCATCCCTCCTCATCAGGGAAATACAAATCAAAACCACACTGAGATACCACCTCACGCCAGTCAGAGTGGCTAAAATGAGCAAATCAGAGAACTCTAGATGCTGGCGAGGATGTGTAGAAGACTGCCAATATTCTTATCTTTGTTCCCCTGAATTTAGTATGTCTTTTGCTTTATAAAATGTGTCTATATAATTGATTTTTTTGGAATTTTATTATAATGTGCTTTTTTTGTGGTTTTCTTTATGTTTATCCTGCTTGAGGGGTATTGAGATTATTGGATCTTAGTTATAGTTTTCATAAAATTTGGAAAAAACTTAGCCATTACTTCTTAGATTTTTTTTTGTGCACACTCTTTTTCTGGGATTAGTATTTTTTTTTAAATGTTTATTTTTGAGAGAGAGAGAGAGAGCACATGTGAAAATGAGGGTAGGGGCAGAGAGAGAGGGAGACAGAGGATCCAAAGTGGGCTCTGTGCTGACAGCAGAGAGTCCAATGTGGGGCTCAAACTCACAAATCATGAGATCGTGACCTGAGCTGAAGTTGGACGCTTAACTGAGTGAGCCACCCAGGCACCCATATTACTATTATTTTTATGTTAGACAGTTTAATAGTATTGAGTAGGCATTACATTCTCTATTTTTCTTCTTTTTTGGTTATTCACTTTGGATAGTTCTTTTTCAGTGTCTTAAAGTTTTACTAATATTACTTATTATTTAAATTAAATATTAGTATTTCCTTGTGCAGTGCTAACTCTGTGTTTAAACCACATTTACTAAATTTCTTATTTTAGATATTGTATTTTTCAGCTTTAGAAGTTTCGTTCGGTTATTTTTATATCTTCCCTCTCCTTTATGTTCATGCTTCCTTTATATCTATGAGCATATTTACCATAGATATTTTGAAATTCCTGCCTACTGTAATTTGTGGCTATTTATTTTTTTAAAGTTTATCTACTATTTTGAGAGAGAGAGAGAAGGAGAGAGTACAAGCAGGGGAGGGCAGAGAGAGAGGGAGAGAGAGAGAATCCCCAGAAGACTCCATGCTCAGTTTGCAATCTGACATGGGGCTTGATCCCACAACTGCAAGGTCATGACCAGAGCTGAAATCAGGAGTCAGATGTTCAACCAACTGAGCCACCCACACTCCCCTGTAACTATTTCTATTGACTAAATTTTCTCCTGGTTTGGGACACATTTTCCTGCATCTTTGCATATCTGGCAATTTTTTATTAGATGCTAGATATTGTGAATATTACAACCTTGAGTGTTTAGAGTTTGTTGTCCTTTTGCTAGATATATTGCTTGTGGATTACAATTAGTTATTCAAACAATTTTTATTCTGACTTATTTATAGACTTACAGAAAAGTTGAAGAACATTGCAAAGAATTTATTGATATCACTTACCCAGATTATCTAATTTTTATCATTTTATTTGCTTTATTCATTTATCTATTAATGTCTTTTTTCTGAACCAATGTCTCTTTATTCCTAAATACATCAGGGTATATTTCCTAAAAATGAACTCTGTTACATAACTCTAACAAAAACCAACCTCAAAAAATTCACACTAATATAACACTATTTTCCAATATCTATACTCTATTGAGATTTTACAAGTTTTCCCATTTATGTTCTTTATAGCAGATGAAAATTCAATACCACATCTCTTTAAATTCCTTTAATCTAGAGGAGATCTTTAGTCTTTCTTTGCATTTAATGGCATTGAAGGTTATTTTTCAAACTCAAATTTGATTTTGTTTAATGTTGTCTTATGGCTACGTTTAGGTCATACCCTTTTGGCCAGAATATCACAGAAGTGATGTTGAGTTCTTCTCAATGCATCATATTGGGAGGCAGATGGTTGGTCTCATTACTGATCATGTTAAGTTTGACAGTTTGCTTAAGATGCCATCACCATATTTCTCCAGTAAATTTACTTTTCAAGCCTGTGACTAATAAATATCTAGTAGGTAGATAATTTGAGACTGTGTTAATATTCTATTCCTCCTTAAATGGTACCCACTAGTTTTAGCACCATTGATGATTCTTTCCTTAATCAACAGCAATTATAATATTTGGCCAAATGGTGATATTTTCTCATTCCTTCTCCACTTATTAGCTGGCTTTTTACTGTAGGAATGTTTCCTTCCTTTCTTCTTCTTCCCTTCCCTTCCCTTTTCTTCCTTCCTTCCCTTCTTTCTTTCCTTCCTTCCTGTACTTATATTTTCTAAGATATTTATATAAACAGCATGATTATAATAAACATGAGAATTTTTTAAATAAACAAAAACTTTCAGAATATATGTCCTTTGGAAAATCAACTATTTACATTAAGATTTTTCATTTAATGAAACAATGACAATTGAAAGAATATTCAGTCAACATTATGTTTTGAGTTTCTACTGTGTATAACTTATTGTGCCAAGTGCTTTAGGAAATGTAAAAGTATCCTTATAAATTTTTGAATTTTTGAGTTTTCTCTACTTCACTTCCAAATTCCTTTACATCCTGTTCCCCAGACACTTATTCTCTCTTTTATTCTATCAAGCAAGAGAGTATGCCTCTACTTATTCTTTAAGGGTGATTCCTCCATTTTTTCCCCCACAATCTTGTTCCCTTTTATGTCTTGTGGAATCTTGTAAGTAGATGAGATGGCATAGTGGTCAAAACCACACTGGTCTTGAAACCAGACAGACTTTTAGTTTGAATCCATGTTCTTCCAAGTATAGCTTTTTGATCACAGGCATATTAAGTCAACTCCCCCAGGCTTCAGACTCTCATTTGCAAAGTGGGGATAATAACCCATCTCAGAATTGTTATGAGGATTACAGAAGACCACATGTGATTTGTATAGTGCGTGGCACATAGTAAGTGCTCAATAAATGTCAGCTTTAATTATTATTATTATCTAAAAATCATCTCCTTGCTCCTAATAATGGCTTAGAAAATTTTAAAATATTGTTCTATGTTGTCAGGTGAATGGATAATAAACATCATGAAAACTGCTTAACTGCTGTCTGAATGGATATGGTCAAGAATCCTCCCTGGGTTGTGAAGTCTTCTATTACGTTCTTTAAATAGGTATTAGAAGATTGAATGGCTGTTAAAGTATATTGTGCCAATTCCATCTCTTTCACATAAATGATTAGGCTTTCTTACACTTAATCTGAGACAGAATGCCAGGAACTCTTTCGTTTGGTTCCATAATAACACTGTTCTTTTCTATTTAAACAAAGGCAATTTCTTTTCCTCCTTCTCATTGTGATGATGCATGAGAACTTATTACGTGTTACAATAATTGTAATAGCTGCCATCACAAAGGCTTTTAAGAACTCTAATGCTCAGGCCACACCCCAGAGTCTTTGGGAGACAAACCCATATTCTCAAACTTGGTTGCATATGGGAATCACTTGGGGAACATAGAGAAAAACTTATATCTGGGTTCTTTCCCAAAGACTCTGATTTCACTGGCCCAGGTGTAATGTGGACATTGGATTTTTTTTTTAAAGCTCCAAGGTGCCTCTGATGCACGGCCAGATTTGAGAACAGCTGATTTACATGTAGTATCTCCACCCTGAGGGAATCCTGTCTTCAGATCCATGTGGCCTCTCTCATGAAACAAGAAGCAGCCTCCTGGTATGTGGCATTTGATTTCAGAGGCAAGACTTGGATTGGTAAATTTGACTAATCCTATCATGCCCCACATCATGACATTGAGGTTTCCTCCATCTCTGATAAAAGCACAAGCTCCTGGACATCCCACTCTCATACTGCTCAAAGTGACCCAATCCCCTATCCCTTCTCTCCTTTACTGTGCCCTCTATACTCTGACCTATGGTCTGCAAACTTCCTACATCCTCGATGTTTTATTCTGAATGGAAATTCTCTTCTTTTTTCCCTTGTCCTGGTTCACCCTTGCTTCCCTTGCAGCACTCTTAAGTAGAGATCATTTTCTTAAATCTCACAGAAGTCTGTGCTCTTCAGATTAAGGATATGGAGTAGGTGTCATTTTTGCTCTGCACTTCTACTTTAATTCCTTTTTTTTTCTCCTTCAAAATATCAAGTCTGTTTGAAGTTGGGCCATCATACTATGTCACCCACCAACCCTTAAAATTCCATTCACTACCTATCCACCTTCTAGCATTCTCCTTGTGCCCCAAAGGCCTTGACTCAAGTCTCATTTATGGTTTTTAGTGCCTACTCCTCTCGTTGGTTCTGGTGACTTCCATAACCATGTGCATGATCCACACAATGCTTTCAGTTCCTTGAGTCCCTCACTTCCAGCAACTTTCCCTCTCTTCTACCTTGGTCACGAATCAATTATTTTATTTTATTATTATATTTTATTTATTTATTTTTTTTTAATATTTTTTTATTTATTTCTAGGAGAGAGAGAGACAGCGTGAGCAGGGAAGGGTCAGAGAGAGAGGGAGTCACAGACTGAAACAGGCTCCAGGCTCTGAGCTGGCAGTCAGCACAGAGCCGGATGTGGGGCTCGAACCCACGAACCGCGAGATCATGACCTAAGTGAAAGTCGGACGCTTAACCAACTAAGCCACCCAGGCGCCTCGAGAAACAGAGAATCTTAAGCAGGCTCTATGCCCAGGGTGGCTTGATCTCATGGCTGTGCAATTGTGACCTGAGCCGAAATCAAGAGTTGGACGCTTAACTGACTGAACTACCCGGGCACCCCTTGAAATCTTGATTTTAAATACTCTGTTCCCTGACAGTAGCTTCTTATTCTCCTTGATAATATGCTCTAGAATAGCCAATGCAACAGTTTTCCAACATCACTGAACACTTTCAAAATTAGAGTCTACTCCTTTGTCACTATTCATCTCTTTTCTTCCCTCTCCCTCCTTACATGTCTTAGATTTTATGGCCCACAGTTACCATTGTTTCCTTGCAAACTTTCAGATCCCTTGATCTTCTCTCTCTGCTGCAATGGATTGACAAGTATCCTAGTGTAAGTGTCTACCCGCTGCCTTCTTTTTACCACCCTTCCTTGCTCCTTCTTATTTTAAACTCATGGATTATTTCATACTTAAGTGAGACCATAGAAGCTATAATATTTCCACCAACAAACTAGACATTTGCTTGGAGTTTTACCTGTATTCATTTCTCTCCTCTTTAAGAGGTAAGAAGTGTCTCTACTTCACCCAAGGCCAACCTCTCTCCTTGTGCTCTGGATCATATCTCCTTACTTCCTCAAGGACTTGCTGTTTCAGTAAGTTTTATTACCTCTCTCCTGCATCATTGGTCTGTCCTACTCTGTAGGGTCATTCTTAATAACTTATATTTACCAGCATGGCTCACTAATAACCAAAAAGCAATTCTACTTGAGTTTATATCTTCCTTTAGCTTGTATCCTATTTCTCTTCTTCTTTTCAAGAAAGTCTTGAAACCATTATCTATCCTTGATTCTAGTCACTTGTCAACCCTTCAATGCTTCAACCCAGTTTCAGTTTCTAGCCGCAGATCTGGAAACACTCAAGTCAGCAGAACGTTTCCCGTCCTAATCTTATACAGTCTCTCAACATTTGACCCAACTGACTACTTCCTCCTCCTTAAACACAATTCCGTAGATGTCTTCCAATATGAAATTGTCAGATATTTTTCTCATGATTAGATAGAAATTAATGATTTTTGAAGAAGAGTACCACAGAGTTTAAGTGCCCTTCTAACCCCTCATACCAGCTGGTACATGATATCCATAGGGCATCACAGGTAATGTTCACCTTTATCATTTGGTTAAGGTAGTGTTCGCCAGGCTTTTCCACTGTAAAATTACTATTTTTCCCTTTCCACACTCCATATTTTGGAGGAGAGTCACTAATTGTAATGTAACCTCAACCTGTGAAGAGATTGGTAATAATTAAGTGCCACCAAGAAAGACACATTTATCCCAAGGAATTGAGGCACAGGGAGGTTAAATAAATGTCCTAAGGTCACACATGAATGGAAGATGAATAATGTTGGCTAATTATTTAAATAACTTGTAGCCATACAACTTGTACTTATGCAGACAGGCTTGCATGAGGAATTCGTTTAGTTGAAATGGTTTAAAAAACAAACAAACAAAAACCTCCAGGTAATTGCAAATGAATGCACTCAGTGAGACACTTAATCATTTTTGCAGGCCAATGTGTACAACAAAAATAAAGAGACATACCAAATAACATTTGCTATTGTCATCTATGCCTCCATACATCTAATTCCGAGAGGAGAAAGTTTTAGAGAAGTGATTGCAACTTGTGTTCTGTGGTTTAGATCCAGCTTGCATATGTGTTTCATTTGGTCTGCATGGTATTTAAAATTACTTTATCACAGGACACTTGGATAGCTCAGTGGTTAAGCATCTAAATCTTGATTTCGGCTCAGGTAATGATCTTGTGGTTTGGGAGTTTGAGTCCTGCATTGGACTGTACATTGACAGTGTAGAACTTGCTTCAGATTCTCCTACTCTCTCTCTCGTTCTCTCTCTCTCTTCCTCCCTCCCTGCCTCTGTCAAAATAAATAAGTAAATGTAAAAAATGATTTTCTCTCTTGGTTGTCAACTTTCAAAAATTGGGAAAACTGGGAAGTTTCCCATACAAACACAGATCTCAAACTTCTCTTGGAAATTTGAAAGATCTGGTCGCATTGGATCTTTATTTACTTATGACAAGTAAATGCTGGTACCCTTGGATGATTCTCTCCAAGGGTCCCATGGAGCTATCTGGTATGAGCCCAACACTTGGGCTAAGAGACACCAAATCATAGTCTCCAGTTGGTTGATGATGTTACCAAGATGAAAGAGGACTTGATATATTCTGCAGAGCTCCTGAGAGGGGAACCAGAATCAGCCACCCAAACTGTAGGAGATAGTCTCCAGTCTCCCACTTATGGCAGTCTGGCAGTACAGCCAGTTGCCCCAAATATGCTGACTTTCTTTTCACCAGAAGTGTTTAAGCAAAGGGGAGAAGATCATGACTCAGGGCTATCAAAGACAGGATTTGTACACAGAGAAAGCTTGGGGCAGGCACACTGGAAGAATCACTCACAATGGAAATATTATGCAGTCTTATTTTCCTGAAGAATTAATAAACTTGATGGAATGGTAATTCTACTCATGAAGAAGTATTGCACCTTGTAGCTGATTATACAAGGAAGACTGTATTAATGCTCCCAATTATAAGACAAATGGGGTCACTTGCCTGGCTCAGCCAGTAGAGCTGAGGTGAGTGAGGCTGAGTTCTCAGGTGGTGAGTTCAAGCCCCACATTGAGCACAGAACTTACCTAAAAAAATATGGGATGTGGTGCCTTGGTTAAGCATCCAACTCTTGGTTTTGGCTCAGGTTCTGATCTCAGGGTTTCATGGGTTTGAGCCTTGCATTGGACTCTGCACTGAAAATGCAGAGCCTGCTTGTGATTCTTTGTCTTCCTCTCTCTCTCTCTGCCCCTTTCCCACTTACACTGCCTTGTCTCTCTCAAAGTAAATAAAATTTTTAAAAGATATAGGAAATAAAGGCTATAGTGAGCTGACTCAGGTATCTGAGCCAGAGGAGATGGTGAGAAGGACAAAGACATAGGGAGAAAATTGGGTGGTGGTACAAGGTAAAGGGACTGGGGGCAGCTTGTGTTGGTTATACATGGAGAAAGAGGGCTGAAGATGTGATGGAATGATCTAGTTAAAGGAGCAGCACACTTCTCACTAAGCAAACTGCATGCTGGATTTTATTTTCTGGTTGAACAGCTTTGCCTTTCTTGAAATAAAAGGAAAGCCAGCTGTAGTGTAAATAATTTGCACAACCTCTTCCGAACACAGTCTGCCAAAGATAGTGTTTTAGTCTTTTTTTGTTGTAAGGTCTTATGCAGACTGATGGCAGAGTGGGTTTGGGTTTAGGTGGCTAAATACTGGGGTGCTCACTCTCCAGTTTGTTACCATTAGAGACTGTTCTAGCTTTGCCCTGAGTTCTAGTCACTTATGTTTATGTTGTTCCAGAAAGTTATGTGGTTTGTTATAAGGCTGTTTATGTTTACAGATGTGAAGATTTGCCTGAGGAAGCATTTTGCCTCTGTGACTCTTTTCATCTATAAAGAAATCACTCAGACATTAATTTGGGGCATAGCGTTACCAAATCGAGACAAGTGGAGCATACCCATCATCCATCAGGTGGGCTTATTACCCTAACAGTGATATAGACATTCATCTCCTTGGCATCAGTGGTGTTTGAGACGAGAAAGAAATGCTTGTGGCAGCTAATTATACCTCCCTGTATTAATTACCATAGTAAGTGACAGTTTTGTTCACACCTTGTTGTTTTGCTAAGGAAAAAGGAAAAGAACAATTCTGTGCTATTCGCCAAAGATTTAGAACAGGAATCTTGGCCCTTGTTCTTAACAGAATTCAGGTTGAAATAAGGAAAGGAGAGAACTCTTCCACTTGTTCTTGGTGGCTTAATAGGAAAAAAAAATTAATGACTTTCATCTTATTTTGGCTCAGACGCCTACCTGAGCTATGATTTGAAATGAGTTTCCTATTCCTGACTCCCCTTATTGAAGACCTGGGGATTTATCAATACTTCACAACAACAAAGAACACTGCTCAGTACAGTTTGACACAGATGCTGCTTCCTGCTTCGTGGGGCCACCACACGTCTTCTTAACTTCTATAGATTTAAGCAGGATTTATACTTCATGAACCCAAGTGTGTATCCAAATCTTCTTGTTATTATAAAGAACAACAACATAAAGCCATACACCGAATAAGCCAGTCTTGTTTTCTATAAACCTCTAAAGAAAGATTTGTACTCTCCCCAGTTTTAGCTTTAGAAGAAATAAACCCAGTTTGGCTGACACCCGTCCCAGAAAGCAGTATCTGAGAACAGACCCTTGGGCCCTGTAACTTTGCAGGCACTAATAGCAAGGACTCGGCAAAGGAGCTAAAGTGAATTTGTCACTAGCTCTTCATCTTCCTCTTTTTCTTCTTTTTTTAAAAGTAGGCAGCAACTTATGTTTATGTTTGTCTTTCTGGAACATTGGTGTGTCATGCTGTGATCTAGTCAAAGGCCTTTTTATTATTTCCTTATGGGATTTATAACCAGTAGGTTTATTTCCCTGCTGACATTTAGCATTACATTTTAGAATTATGGCCACCAGACACTTCAGGAAATTTCCTCTGAAGAGTTTGTATTTAAGCCAGAAATGGCCAAACTCATCCAGAACCGACTGCTCAGCTGCTACTTTCTATGCAGTAGGAGAGGGACTCTGTAAGTTGAATTGATTTTACTCATTCAGAGTTAACTCTACCATCTATTTTCCCTTTTCATTTGAGTTATTCTGACTTGGCATCCTTTTGCATTGCCTGGATATTAATATAGTCAATGCAGAACACGTGGCACCTGAGCATTGCACGAGTTATTCATACACGTGATGCCCACAGATGTGCGTGCTATGTGCAGGTATAGTTGGGAGTTTCTGGGAGGGTCACATCAATGTCATAGAAAGAAGTAGGCGACAGAGTCGAGATAGACTTGGATGAAACCCTGGTTCTTCCAGTTACTAAATTTATTCACTGATTTCCCACCTTCAAAACCTGGTAGGGTTGTTGTAAGGCACTTCTTGAAAAGAATGTATAAATCACAGGGGATGAATAGTAAGTGTTAGTTGATTTCTGATTGATAGTTGCTTTCCTTGGGACTTTATCAGATTCAGAATCCATGTGAATATTACATATGTCGCGTGGTGTTCAGTCATTCAATGGTTTCACCTCTGGGTAGCACAAACATCCTTTGAAAACTGTTTTTCCTATTTGATCAGCAATCCTACTTCTTCCAAGATGGTTCTGGAGTTTAAAATACTTTTGACTGGCATATGTGTATTTCCATACCTGTGTGACAAAGCACTCCGTGAAAAGTACTGTACTATACCAAGTCACTTTGATCCTATTCAAAATATTAAGATCTAAGTTGAAGCTATTTCAAAGGTCTGATAATTTCCACTTTTATTCCCAATGCAGAAATGACTCTATGGAGCTCCGACCCCAGTTGGAACATTCCTGCTGCTGTTCACAGGAAGGGCACATGCCTTTCATGCTCAGCATGGACAATCGCTGACTGCATCAAAAGACTACCCCCTCATGTAGATGACAGAAAACGCACAGTCTTTTACTTAGCTGTTAATGAGTCATGGCTCTGTGGCCGGCAGCAAATGTGGCTGGCCACTGCAGGGCTATTGTGAAGAGGCAAATACTTTTATCCTCCAGGGTTTTGGGTGCTGCCTTCAAGTTTTGTCAAGAAGAGGCTGGTGTTGGGGCGCCTGGGTGGCTTAGTCGGTTAAGCGTCCGACTTTCGCTTAGGTCATGATCTCGCGGTTCGTGGGTTCGAGCCCCGCGTCGGGCTCTGTGCTGACTGCCAGCTCAGAGCCTGGAGCCTGTTTCAGAGTCTGTGTCTCCCTCTCTCTCTGACCCTCCCCTGCTCACACTGTCTCTCTCTCTCTCTCCTACAAATAAATAAAAAACATTAAAAAAAAAAAAAAAAAGAAGAGGCTGGTGTTGGGTCAGCATCTTTTGAGCAGTCTGAGGCTCAGGAAACACTTGATGAATTAGCATGACTGAGTACTATCATTATGGAAAGACGTACTGAGTATTATGGATGGTCTGACTGTTCTCTTTTCTGTAGCAAAGTTGACTTGGGAAACTAGTCTAAGTCCCAAACAGTTTGCTTGGTGCATATAGAATTAGAGTAATGAGATTACGAGGTTTTTAGCATTACTTTTTCCTTTTTATTTTTATTTTTTTAAATTTTTAATGTTTATTTATTTTGAGAGAAAGAGAGACAGAGCACAAGTGGGGGAGGGGTAGAGCGAGGGACGACACAGAATCTGAAGCAGACTCCAGGCTCTGAGGTGTCAGCACAGAGCCTGATGTGGTGGGGCTTGAACTCACAGACTGCGAGATCATGACCAGAATTCAGATGCTTTAACTCAATGAGCCACCCAGGCACCCCTATGTTTTCCTTTTTAAAATTATATCAGCAATACATTTTCAGTATAGTAAGGTTGGAAAACACAACACACAATAAAGAAAAAGAAGGAACTACTCACACCATTTAGAGATAACCAGTGTTAGCATTCTGTAGTATAGTCTTCCATTCTTTCTTGTGCATCCTTAATGAATTTTGTACAATCTATGGCTTGAGGATAGTTCAGCCTTTTGGAGAGACTTAGGGCCCTGAAATAGCAATTGTTTTTGTTTGTTTGTTTGTTTGTTTATTTTATTTTGAGCAGGAGCAAGAAGGAAAAGATCTTGTTCCTGTAAAACCAACTGTTTCACCAGATAAATGGATGGATGGGTGAGAGAAAAGAGGAATGAATAATCAGTGGAATGTTTGGAATGAAGAACACCTTTCAATAACTGGTAGGGTGCATTTTTAAGTTGGATAACTTTCTTTAGATGGGAATGATTTTGTCTGCCAGCATCTTGCGCTTGGGGGAGCCTCTTTTCTTTCTACTTGATGTGATCTGGTTAATTGTCAAATACATTGTTATGCCCTTTCTCTAGACCTCCTGGCCACAGGAGTGAGCATGTGACCCAATCTGAGAAATCATATTCTTACAACCCCACGGATATAGTGATTGGTCCAGGGTGGGCATGTGATCCAAACAGGGCTAACGAGAGGTTTTGTGTTTGTTTTGTTTTGTCTTCCTGGAATTGATATGTGAACATTAGGAGAAAAAGTCTGTTTATAATGAAGTAGCTCACTGGGGAAAATGGGCAATAGGCTGCCTGATGTCTTCTTGCCTGCCATGTGGCAGAGAGCTTATCTGAGAGCAGGGACCAGCCGTGCAGACATAGACAGAGAAAGATGATAGGTAGGTAGGTGGGTAGGTAGATAGATAGACAGACAGATCGATAGATAGATAGATAGATAGATAGATAGATAGATAGATAGATGATAGATAGAAGATAGATAGATGATAGACAGAAGAGAGAGAATAATAAGAACTTTCTGTCATCAATGAGTTGACATTCTTTGAGCCTTTGGATACAGCCATCCTTAAAATCCATTATTTAAGGTAACTAAATTTTCACTTTTACTTAAGCTAGTTTTTAGTTGGTTTTGGTTAAATATAACCAAGAGTTGTGACAAACATACTTCTCCAGCTCCTTGGGGACAGAGGCCTTATCTCTGAGCACACTGCCTGCCATACACCTGCCTGACTCACTGAGTTATCTCCTCTTTCTTGTGTTCAGAGTATAGTTTTTCTCCCTTGAAAACTTCATCTTCCAGCTCTGCATCCACGGTGATGAGCCAATCTCTTCTGGGGAAAAGAGGAGCCCAAAGCATCCTTTTGGCAATCCGCATAAGGTGGAGCCTGTGATTTCTCTGACAGCTGATGAGGTCAGATGGGCAGAGCAGGCCCCATTTTGATTAATATGCCTATAAAATGGAATTCTGGGACTGACCTCCACTCAACTCAAGCAACACAAAGATAATTGACCTTTGGAAACTGCCTTTGTCAGTCTTTTTATTATTTTTATAGGAAAGTCCTGCAAACCAATTACATCTCACAATGGGCCTTTTATGGTGCTATTAGTTTAATGCAGCTTTCAGAGAAATTAGTCCTCAGGGAGCCTGAAATTCTAGGGAAAAAAAAAAGCCCTCCATGAACTTATTTGACTTTTGGATTAGCAGGAAAGATGGATTGGTAGTATGATATCCCCTATAGTAACTTTTGACATTTTGAGCCATCTGACCAAGGTACCAAATTCCCATTTTGGGCCCCTGGCGACTGCCCCGAGCCAAAGGAAAAAATAAATTTAAAAGAAGACAAGATAGCTCTTTAAAGACTTCAGTCTACAAATCAGAGAGGGTTTATTCCCCCTCAGTCTGAGGTTAAGGAAAAATAAAGTGAGAAAATTGAAACAGAGCCTTCTGCTTGAAGGTCTGGGTTTTTCCAAACTTGCAATTACAGATGTCTGTCTCAGATCCTCACATTGGCTTCTGTCCCTCTTTGCCCTGGCCACAGTTATTTGCAGAGTGACAGTTCTGGGGCCACTGTCACAGGGTCAGGCTGTAGATATGGGCGGAAGGAGAGGAGGTGCGATCGCAGCAAAATCGCTTCTCCCTGGCCCTGGGATCAAGTGCTTGGGGGTGGGGGGCAGGCCCTGAAGAACAGAGGGAAGAAGAGAGAGAGCTAGAAAGGGGCCGAGGACCAAGGACCTGCAGGGGGTCCTACCATTGCTCGGGTCTGATGTGCAGTTTGGTTGGCCAGCTCATCCCTAGGACAGGGAAGGGGCTTGGGGGCAGGCCCTCGAGGGCCGGAAGACCCCCCATCAGTGCAGCCCTCCCCACTGAGACTCTGCCCCAGTGTGCCTGCCCCTGCATCAGGCGCTCCTTACCCAGGCTGCACGCGGGAGCTCACAGGACTTCTGTCCCTTATAGCTTAAGGACTTTCCCTGTGTTCTTGTTCTCTTTCCCTCCCAGTTATTATTTGCTCTGGCTCTGACCTGGTCACAGGCCCCAGGCACACCCAACCGGGGCTTTTTTTCTACAAGCCCCTGCGATCCTCTGCTTGCAGGCTTCCTCTGGCCGTGGGAGGAGCCTGCTTGGCCTGAGCAGGTGGGGCAGCGCAGATGCTGGGAGCAGCCCTCCACTACTCATGTGAAGGTGTTGCTGGACAAATACCCTAGTCTCCTAACCCTTTAGGTGGGACCCCTCTGAGGTATGCTCCACATCTTCTCCTGGGATTTCCCCATACAACTCAGCCCCAATGCCCCAAACGGTAAACTTTTTTAAAAAAATGTTTACTTCTGAGAGAGAGAGAGACAGACAGACAGAGTGGGAGGGTCTGAGAGATGGAGACACAGAATCCGAAGCAGGCTCCAGGCTCTGAGATGTCAGCACAGAGCTGGACGTGGGGCTCGAACTCACGAAACATGAGATCATGACCTGATCAGAGGTAGTACATTTAATTGACTGAGTCACCCAGGCACCCCACCCCCCCAAATGTTAAACTTATTAACACCTTGTATTTGCTTCTCCCACTCCTTGTCTCATCCCCCACCCCGTACTGCTGCTTCTCAGAACCACTCCCCCCAAATACACTCAGCCTTGTCTCAGAGCCTGCCACTGGGGCTTGCATCGTAAGCCGGACCTCATGGCTCATTTCCTGTCTGCTCTGACTCCTACCTTCGGTCCAAGACCTGACGTGGCTTGTCCCATGCTGTCATGGGCTCTTCTTGCTCATTACCTTGATTTCATACAACTTCTCAGGTCATTTCTGTCTTAGGCTCCTCTGAGCCATGACCTGGCTTGACTATCAGGATGCACCCCTGCTCCATGATGCTGGGATTGCTGCTGGTTTTGACCCAGTCCTTGAGTGGAAAGAATGGAATCTCATTTTTAGGGGAGAAAGGAATAGAAAGAAATCCTGAAAGGGCCACACTTTGGGTATGAAATGTGGGGAATGTGTCTCTGGGAGAAGAACCCGGTGGATGGAGAGCTATGTTCACCACCCACTGGGCATGCCAGTCTCTGGTCCTAACACTTGACAGGGCAGATGGATGGGCTTTATGAGAAGTGGTGCTGTGCCCTTCCTTTCCTTTCTCATAACTGCTACCTTTGGAAGCAGCTGCATCTTGCTTGCAAAGCAGCAAGCCCTGGCTGCAACCACTGCTGGTGTGTGACGTTGGGTGAGTCATTTAATCTCACCATAGCTCAGTGTCTTCACCTGAAAAATGAGATTCATCATGCACACCTCATAGGATAGTTACAAGGAATAAATAAGAAAACGTGATGAAGTGCTTAGCAGAATGCCTGGCACACAGTAAGAGCTCTATAAGTGCTTGCTGTTCTCATTAGCCCGGCATGTACTGCCTGTTTCTGTTCATTATCTTTTGATATTTTATCTCCCTGCAGGCGGGAGGCATGCGGTAGCATCTTTCTTCCTCTTGGTGTCTAACGTATGTGTATATAGTAAATATGTAAAGAGATACACGTGTAGAGACCGGGTAGGGTAACATCCTGTCTGATCCTTGCCTTTTCCTCTTAACCCCTCTGCATGCTGCAGCTGCATCCACTGCAGAAGCTTCCAGTTGCATAGTAGACACTCTAGTCTTGAAGGTCTCTGCCATGGGGCCACCTGGGGGTTAGGGAGTGTGGAGCAGCAGTTCTAGCTGTGACCAGGGGTTCGGTCCCGTCCCTGCGCTCCTAAGGATGCAGCCGGGTTATGATGACACTGTTCCATTGGCAACTTCTCTTTATCATGCTTGAAACCTAAAGGCAGTGCGCGGGGGCTGGTCTCCCAGGGAGAGGCCAGTGCAGCAGTGGGGTCTTTCATAGTCTGAGGTGCAAAGGTATTTAAGCTGAACGAGTCACTTAAATAATGGTGTTATCTGCTGCTTCCCCTTCAGTGTTCCGCACAGATAGAGATAAAATAGCCAAGGTAATTGTGGAGATGGAGTGTCGCTGGCAAATGATCTAAGCACAAAGACCATTTCCAGAGACAGATGGAGTGGAGGTTCCGGTAATTTTTCTTGAATCATGTTTAAAGTGGCACAGTCTGAAAACCAATTCAGCAGGAGGGCCACTCAGGGGGCCCCAGGGCCACCTGAACTTTGAAAATATTAAAAGTCCAGGGAAGTTGACAAGTCATAAAGAAAACACACTTTCCCCAAGTAGCCTGGTGTAGAGGTGGGTTGATGAGGGGAGCTTGATGGTCACCCTGGAGAATTCCACCCACACACAGCACTAGGTGCCAAGTGCCGATGTGTTAATTACTGCTGAATCTGGCAACACTGCTCTCTGGGCTTGGCTTCCTTCCAGGGCCAGGAGAAACCACTGTGAAGATACAGGTGGGATTAGCTGAGCGCCTTGGGAGACCTCCTCCTTCACGATTCCGTCTGTTCAGAGTCATCGAGGCAGTGGATTCTAGGAACCCAGCACTGTGAATCTGAACATGTGGGCAGTGTCCTTGGGCCCAACGCCAGCTCTGTGGTGGGGAGGAAGAAATGGGTACTTCCCTTGACTCAGTCTCAACCTGCTAATGAAGGAAGTAATGGGCTCTGAAGGTAAAATCACAACTTCTTATGGAACACTTTGCGGCCATTCAAAACCATGTTGTAGAAAACTAATGACTCAGAGGAAGGTTTGTGATGTATTGCTAAGGGAAAAAAGCAGGCTACGAAACAGCATGCAGGCATGCTTTAGGTATTTGTTTTAAAAATTAAAGGTAGGCCCAGATATGCAAAGAAAGATGGCTGCAGAGACAGCTGAGGTACTAAGTTATTTGACTTTTTTTTTTTTCCTTTTGAATCTTGCTACATTTTCTGATGTTTCTACAATGGGCGTGCATTTCTCCTGTAATAAGCAAAAGAGATACAAAAATCATATATTACATTCATGTGGTATTTATAGTTTTCAAAAATTTTTACATACATACTTCATTGGATCCTCATAACAGTTCTGTGAATTAGGTACAACAGTTCATTCTTGTTTTACAGATGAGGAAAATGAGGCTCGGAGCAAATTGAGGGCTTGAATAATGTATTGTCCAGCATGGAAGTCACTGAACCAGAATTAGAACCCAGATCTCTTGTATTCTGGCTGTAGTGTTCTTTCCACTACATATTAGGGATTTTGAGACAGGACCATCAGCAGTATCTGCCATCTCATAACTGAGATCCGAGGTCATGTCACATCCCCAAGAATGTCCTACTTCCCTAGTTAAGACCAGCTTCCTTTGTTATGTGTTCTCAGATCTGGCTTCATTTTTCCTTTATACCATCCAATAAAGTAGCTACTAGCCACTGACAGTTACTTAAATTTGAATTTAAGATCATAAAAATTGAATAAAATGAAACATTTGGTTTTTCAGTCACATTAGTGATGTCCTAAGTGACACACTAGCCATATGTGGCTACAAGGTATTTACATATATCCGTCATCACAGGAAGTTCTGGTGGGCTCTTCTGGATTGCTTATCTCCCTTCGTGTTTACCTAATGGTTTGTTCAGTTATTTTTGGATTCATGTCTGTTCCCTGCACTAAACTGAAGTCCATGAGGGCAAGGATCACCATTGATTTGCTTTCCTCTGAATTTGCAATGCCAAGGCCAGTCTTGACATGAAGAGGTTGCTTAATAAATGTGTGTTGACTGCTCCCCACTGCTTTAGGATGAAGTGTATACATGGCTTGCCGTGGCTTCTCAGGCCTTGTGTAAAGCAGTCTGTTCTCGCTCACCAAGCTCCCTCCAAGCCTTTACCTTCTTGTCTCCAACCATCCATTTGCCCCGGATCTCTTTCTGTTCCTCGAATGTCCCATTCTGTCTTGTCACTGAGTCTTCACAACGCTGTTTCTTCTGCCTGCAATTTCCCCCCTGCCTCTACACCTCCTGGATGACTCTCATCCTTCATGTCTAAGGGTTAAAGACTGAATGTCCCTTCCTCCAGGAAGCCTTCCCTGTCTCCCTGAGTCTGGGTTAGATGCTCCTCCTATGTATATTCATAGCACCCTGAACTTCCCCCGCTGCCTACTTAGTATGCTGTAGTATAATAGTCTCTTAAGGTCTTTATCTCTCCAGCTAGACTGTTAGCCCCATGGGGCAGAGGCTGTGTCTCTTACTCCGCATGATGTCCCCTTGTGCCTATATCAGTGTCTGGCACAGAGTAATCGTTTGGTCAGCAAATGCTTATTAGCAACCCACTGTGTGCCAGGACCATGTCGGACACTGGGCGTACGTTAGTGGACAAAGGACACATAGTCCTGACCTTGAGGGGCTTCCCCTGTTGTTAGAAGCCTGCAAATGTGTATTGAATGAATAAATGGCTGAGGCTGTGTCTGAGGAGACTGGCCTCAGGCTCCGGCTGCAGGGGCCATGGGCCAGGCCAGGGCTGTTTGATGGGGAGCTTCTGGCTGTGGGCACACATTTTCCCAGGGCTTGTCTTGGATTTCAGGTGTGGTAAGGGGGTTTGAGAGGATGCTCCCAAACCTGATCCTCTGTGTTGCTCTCTCTCTCTCTCTCTCTCTGTCTCTCTGTCTCTCTGTCTCTCTCGTCTCTCCATCTCTATGTCATTCTCTTTCTCTCTGCATTTCTGAAGCTTCTACTTTGTTTTAAATCTGTGTTAAAGTACTCTTATTTCCCCACCTGCTAGGCTCTTAAAACCGCCTGGGCTTGGTTGCTTTTTCAAAGCATCTCAGGTCCTTTCTCTTGCTTGGTGAAACAAAAACAAAATTATTCTAGGGGAACATTTTATGTTAGATGCAATCTAAGAAAACAGCTTACGGAACGGAGGGTTCATTTGGAAGCAGCTAGGGCTTGGAGCGGTGGGTGGGAAGAAGGAGGCAGGGCAGGGAGGGTGGAGCCAAGGGTATAAATGTCTCCAGGAGCTGGGGTGGCACTGGCATAAGTCACAACACGAATTGGTGACCCTTTTTTGTGTTTTTATCCCCCGGGGATATAATTTTTATTTTAGTCCAGAATTATGCAGCTCTTTAGCCAGAAGCCTCTCTCCCTCTCTATCCCCTTTTATCTTCCCATCCCTCTTGCTTTTAATGTTTTTTCTCTACTTCACGTTTTTACCATGCGCCTGGCCCCAGTCGGGGCCTCCACTTCCTCTGACACCCACCCACTATGTGACTTTGGGTGGAAAGTGAACAGCCCCAGCAGGAGACAGTGATTTCTAGCTCTTCTCCTTTTTCCTGCTGAGGCTCCGGGGCTGGGAGTTTTCAGCTCAGCCTGTTTTTTCTTAAAGTTTTAATTTAAATTCCAGTTAGTTAACATACAGTGCAGTATTAGTTTCAGGTGTGCAATATAGTGATTCCACAGTTCCGTACAACACCTGGTGCTCACCACAAGGTCCCTCCTTAATCCCTTCACCTATTTTCACCCATCCCCTCACCCGCCTCCCCTCTGGTCACCATCAGTTTGTTCTCTATGGTTATGAGTCTGTTTCTTGGTTTGTCTCTCTTTTGTTGTCTTTTGCTCGTTTGTTTTGTTCCTTAAATTCCCCGTATGAGGGAAATCATATGATTTTTATCTTTCTCTGATTTATTTAGCTTAGCAAAAAATGTCATTGTAAATGGCAAGATTTCCTTCTTTTTTTATGGCTGAGTAATATTCCATTTTGTGTGTGTGTGTGTCTATCTATCTATATACACCTCTTTATGCCTTCATCAGCTGATAGATACCTGCTATTTGGCAGGTAGTTTGGCTATTGTAGATAATGGTGCTATAAACATCGAGGTGCACATATCCCTTTGAATTAGTATTTTTGTATTCTTTGGGTAAATACCTAGTAGTGCAATTGCTGGGTCGTAGGGTAGCTCTGTTTTTAACATTCTGAGGCCCCCCATACTGTTCCCCAGAGTGGCTGCACCAGTTGGCATTCCCACCAGCAGCCCAGCCCCTTTCTGATGGACTGGCTCTGAATTATTGCCCAGGCACCTGGGGTCATCCAGCAGCTCTACTCCCAGCTGAGCCAGATGGTCAGTGACTCTGCATTATTACAGGGTCATGCCAAAGTGAATCTCTGAGTCCTGCTCCTCCAACTGTCCCGAGTCAGAGGAGGAGAGACTGAAGTCTAGAGAGGTGAGAGGGGAGGATGAATTCACGCACCCCAGCTGCCAGACTCCTGACTCAGTGCTCTTTTCTTATTGGAAAAGCCTGCAGGCAAAGCACCGTGCTCTTTCTTGGGGTACCATTGCTGGGGGCTTTGTGCAACCCCATGCTGTTTGTCTTCTTGCAGAATGTAAGACTGATGCAGGGTTAAGTTTATGGCACTGGCCCAGATGTTGCAGACGCCGTGGGGCCAGGCCCACAGTGTAAAGCAATAGAGACTGGTGAGGACATTCGGTGACTGGAGACTGCTGGCCTCAGCTGAAAGAGGCAGTGACTCCAGAGTGCCAGCCTCTTGTTGATCGGGAGGAAGGGGAGCCCTGTGTAGCCTGATGTCTGACTTTTCAAGAGGCACTAGAATTCTAGACTTCTTAAAATGTGATTGGCTATATTAAAATATGAAAACCTGAGTTGGTCAGACAAAAATTCTTGTGTGCCCTGAGTTCAGGCTATTCTTCTTCTTTTATAAAAATTTTGTTTATTTATTTATTTATTTATTTATTTATTTATTTTGAGAGAGAGAGAGAGAGAGGAGGCAAGTGGGGGAGGGGCAGAGAGAGAGGGAGAGAGAAAGACTCTCAAGCAGGCTCTGAGCTATCAGCACAGAGTCTGATGTGGGACTTGAACTCACACATTGTGAGATCATGAATGAGGCAAACCCAAAAGTCAGACACTTAACCAACTGAGCCACCGAGGCACCCCGAGATCAGGCTATCCTTATGTGAATGGAGTGCAGCCTCTCCTCTGGGCACATTGACTGATCCATGGGGTTTTTCAGGGGACAGAGTGGTGGAGAAAAGGGAGCAAAGTGCTGACATGATCACTGATTAGCACCAGCCTGTTCCCTAGCACTTGCCCTCCTACAACAGCTTCCTTAGAAAGGGAGAGAAATTGTACCAGAAGACTGCTGTGAAGTTTTTAAGAATGGAGGGCTAAGATTACTGCTGGTGGAACTTTCTCTCCTATGCAGACATCAAGGGCTTAGGGGAGGGATCTTGCCGAAGGAATTGACAGCATTGCCAAGTCCAGTTGAATTAAAAAAAAAAAAAGGCTGCCACTGAATGCCAGGCATTACATGTCAGGCCATCTGATCTTCAAAATGACCATATGGAGTAATTTATCTTTTTTTTAATGGATGAAGAAATTGAAGCTCAGAGAGGTTAAGTAACTTGCCCAAGGATGCACAGTAAGTGGATTTCTCTAGCACTGTGCTTTCCTTTCCAAAGAGTTACCCGCCACCCCCAAGGCACATGCATACATGCACCTAAGCACCTCCACTCTATATAAAGATATATAAGATTTAGAAATTTATCCCAAGGCTTCTATTAAAAAAGTTACTTTCATATCTTGCGCAGTTTTTCATTAGTGAAAACTGCCTTTGGGTGAGCTTACCTTTCCCATGAACTGCAGTTTATTGGCTTGGCAAAGGTGTCAACGAAGGTTTGGTTGTGGTTTATAAAAAAAAAAATTCCCAGCTCTCGGAGAAGTGCTCAGCCTAGGAAACAACGCAGCCTATCTCTGTGGCAACCAGCATGCTGGCAGCAGGCAAGAAGCAAGCACTGAACAAAAGTCGGCTCCTTTTCCTCTCTTCCCCTTCTCTATGGCCCTAAGCCAGGCTTTCTGCTCTCACTCCTGTCCCTTCCCTCCAGGATGGAATAGGATTGACCAACTGTCCACCATCCTGCCTGCCCCCCGCGCCCCGCCCCAGCTCTCTGTCTCTTCGGCCACAGGGTCAGGTGCATGCTGGGAACTTCACACCCACCTGCCTGGTTATAGTCAGTGTATGATCTGAAACTCAGAAGGGGCCAAGTCTAGCTCTTCCGTAAATGAGGTACATTTTATTACTTTTTTAAAAGCAAAATCAATTTATCTTAGAGATCATACATTTGCTAGGAACAGAAGTCCCTGCAGTTAGCTTAAGTAAGGGTAAGAATAAGGCTATGGGCCTGCTGGAATCCAAGTAAAATCTGGACAGCCAGGCCACAGGAGAGGTGGGACCGGGCTGCGTCCAGGCCAACAGTAGCAGCAGTGTGCCCCGACCTTGCATTAGTGCTTCACCATTAGTGTGATTCAGCTGAGCTCCACTTCTGACCTGCTCCCATCTGTGGCTCCATCTCCAAGTTTCCATTTCAAATTCCCAGAAGTGGCAAAACAAAGGTCATCACATAGGCAAGATGGCCATCACTGATTGAATCAGCTGTGGACAGGGTGCCCCCAAAATGTTTTGTGCCCCCTATCATTTTCATGCAATATTATTGTTATAGCTAAGATTAGATCAGAATGCCCAGAAGGGGCGAAGTTATCCTTTTCAATACTCATCCTCAAATGTCTGTGCTGTAAATTTTTAAAATTAAAAAACATTTAATTAAAAAAATCACAATATATACTTGCTGGTACTAAAGCCAAGTGATCCTCCATGGGGTTAAAAAAATGAACATGGGAGGAAATCAAAGGGCAGGAAGTCATATTTCTAACCTGAAAGATGATATCAGGGTTTAGATGCCCACTCAGATTCTTGACTGTGCTGATATTTTTCTTTTTTTGGAAAAAAAAATGATAACGATGTACAGCAAGGGACATTTCTGCAACCAATCACTGAAACTGGAATAGTAATGCCCCCGTTCTGAAGTAGTAAGAACATCCAGGAAAGCAACTGGCACATGATAGATACTCAGTAAATGGGAACTGTGTCCATCAACTCCTGAAGGCAGAGCCTAGCATTTACATAGGATTGAGTACAAAATAAAGTTGTTAATAGAATAACTGATAACTCATCGTGGCCAACTGAGAGCAGAAAGCAGCTTACATGGAATGGACGTGGTGAATAATGGAGAGACAGTCTGGACTGGCAGCCAGTTGGAAAGGAATGACCATGGTAGCTTTTCAGAAACACTAGTGAGAGATTCATAATTGATATCCTAAGAAAGGAGAAAAATGGAATCATATGAAATGCTCAGTTCAAACCACAAGAGACAGAAAAAGAGTGGAAGATATAAACAGGAACAAAGAACAAGGGGAACAAATAGGAAAGAGTAACAGATGCAATAGATATTAATCCACCTATATCAATAATCATGTTGGACATGAATGGTCTAAAAGAACCAATGAAAAGAGAAGAGATTTTTGCAGTAATGAAAAAACAAGACCCAACTATATGTTGTCTACAAGAAACTCATTCTAGATATAAAGATGCATATTGATTAAAAATGGACAGAGGAGGGGCCTCTGGGTGGCTCAGACTCTTGATTTCAGCTCAGGTCATGATCTCAAGGTTTGGGAGATTGAGCCCAGTGTCTGGTTCTGCACTGGCTGCATGGAGCCTGCTTGGGATCTGTCTCCCTCTCTCTGTTCCCCCCCTGCTCACATGCATGCACACACACTCTCTCTCAAAATAAATAAATTTTTAAAAATGGATAGAGGAAAATATACCATGCTATCACTAATCAAAAGAATGCAGGAGTAGCTACATTAATCTCAAAGCAGATTTCAAACTAAGATTATCAGGGATAACAATGAGTAATAATGACTGTGAGTTCGAAAACCCTCAATGTGTCTGCAAATGCAGAACTTCAGAAAAGCCTTCTCAAAAAATCCAAAATGGCCATTTTATGAAAATCTGAAATCACAGAGAGCATCTCTGGGAGGCCATCAGGCCAAGTTTTCTGTCTCTTGGGGCAACAGGACAGGTGCGTGTGGGGACTGAGCAGGCTGGACAAGGTTCCATGGAAGGCTCAGAGGTGTTCCAAGTCAGGAGGATCAGTTCCCTCCAGGCATCTGCCCACTCTCCTGGGAGCTTGGAGAAGACAGATTCCTTCAGGAAGACCTGCTTCTGGAACCTCACTTCCCTGGTGGAGAAGGGCTGCAGGTACAGGAGTTAGGGGCAGAGTCCAGGGTTCCCCTGTATTCCCAGGAGGAGCCAAAGGTGGGCCTGATGGAGACAGGGCCCAAGTCTAGCTCTTCTGACCCAGGGGTTTCCGTAGCACTAGGCAGGGGTTGGGGGAGAGGGCCTCCCATTCCTGATCGCTCCTGTACCTGAATGAGTATTGCCTTTTCTTTTTTTTTAAGTCTTTAAATGTTTTAATTCATTTTTTTTTTGAGAGACAGAGAGAGAGAGAACACTAGCGGGGTAAGGGTAGAGAGAGAGGGAGACACAGAATCCGAAGCAGGCTCCAGGATCTGAGCTGGCAGCATAGAGTGCAACACGGGGCTCAAACCCACGAACCAGAAGATCTTGACCTGAGTCTAAGTCAGACACTTAACCAACTGAGCCGCGCAAGCATCCCTGAGTATTGCATTTTCAACCAGTGCAAGGAAAGATAAGCATACCTCCTTTGGAGACAGAGCTACACTCAAGTCTCAGCTCGATTTGAATTATCTACAGGACCTTGCGCATGTTCCCCTCTGAGTCTGTTTTCCTCATCTGTAAAATGGAAATAGTAACATAAGGTTGGGGGACTGGGTAACTGTACGACAAACATCAGCCATTATTATTAACCACTAAACCTTGACAGAGCAGGGACCACATTTCTTTCCTCAGCGGATCTCTCTAGGATCTCTCTATGGGCTCTCTGGCTTGATGGGCTGAAGGACGTCCACATGTTTGCCTTCAGACCTCAAATACATTCACTCAGCTCTGCTCACTGGTGAGCTCACCCATCCAGCTTCTAGCGTCATGGTGAGGACCCCAGATTCTAGAGTTGGAATGTCTGGGTCTTATTCCCAGTTCTGCTACTCAATAGCTGAGTATGACCTGAGGCATAGTATTTAATTTCTTTGTGCTTCTGTTCCTTCATCAGTTAAAAAAAGTGATGTCCTCACTTTTTAGCATTCTTGCCAGGAGTAAATGAATTCATACGTGTAAGATATTGAGAAAGGTATCTAGTGTTTTGAGATCTGCTCATCTCCTCCCAAGGACCGAGGTGGGTTGGGTGCTGAGGGGGCAGTTGGGAAGTGGGGGCCTTTCTCTGGAGCCTGCTTCCCTTAAGACCTGCCCCTGCAGTAGGTTGATGGTCCTGGCTACAGCCCAGAGTCCTAGGAGAAGCGGCTGGCTCTTGGGGCTCAGGTGGAGCCTGGAGGATGAAGAGGGTGTGGACTGCCCTTCACCGGCCCAGTGGGTGTTTGCTCAGCCTTCCAGTTTCCCATCTGGATTTCCATCCAGAATCCCATCCAGATTCCCATCCAGGTGCAAGGGGAGCACAGTTGGCTAATTAAGCTGAAAGCAGCATGAAGGTGCCAGGGAAGAAGTGAAGACATCTGTTCCCCTCTGATCATCAACTGGCTCCTTGTTTGTAAGAATGGGCCCCCTCCTCCCAGCTGAAGACCAGTGGGGGGGATAGAAGGAGGGCAGTCAAGGGGAACGATGATGAGAGATTTTCTCCTTCTGTGATTGCTTTCCAGGGCTGGGCTTTTTGCTTAACATTGACCTTTGGTGGAGTTGCTCCCATTTCCAACTGAAGATACCATACAGACCTGATTTCCTTTTGACTCCGTTGACATGGTTTGCTCTCTCCCTCCTCCTCCCTGGCTTCATTTATTTATTTTTATCATGTAAGGAGAGCTGCTTCTACTGCCCCATCCAATGGGGAACTCAAGGCCATGGTCTGGATTATTAAGGGTGATAAGCAACACAAAATTTGGACAAGACCCCTCCTGGGCCTGGGTAACTGAAGCCAGCGTAGTTGATTCCGGTGAAAGCATCACTCAGCTCCTCTCAGGGACAACAGATATAAAAATCCAAGGAAGTTCAAAATCATTTGTTTCTTTGGTCTGTAGTGAAGTCAGAGATGGGGCACACAGGTTCATCAACCTTCAGTGTGTCCGCAGCCCCCTTTGGGCACCCAGTCGAGGACAGAAAGAGGAGGCGAGAGGAAAGGTAACTGATGTGCATATATTGAATGCTTATTCAGTACCATTCAGTAAGGGGTGAGTTTTCTATCTTCCTGTTTGTAATATTGTTCATAATAAAAGCTAATATTGACAGGGGCGCCTGGGTGGCTTAGTCGGTTAAGCGTCCGACTTTCGCTTAGGTCATGATCTCGTGGTTCGTGGGTTCGAGCCCCGCGTCGGGCTCTGTGCTGACTGCCAGCTCAGAGCCTGGAGCCTGTTTCAGTCTGTGACTCCCTCTCTCTCTGACCCTCTCCTGTTCACGCTGTCTCTCTCTCTCTCTCTCCTAGAAATAAAAAAATAAAAAATAAAAATAAAAAAATAAAAAAAGCTAATATTGACAGTGTTGTTCTAAGTACCTTTTCTTTCACTTAGGTTTATAACCTCTGCAATGCACAAGATAATAGACTCAGAGTCACATCCTGAACTCAGGTCTCTGATCCAAGTCCATGTCATTTTCAAGTGCTATATACTGTGCTATTTTATGTATTTTAAACCTGTCAGTTGTCCTAGACCTCATACTTACACAGCTGCTACTACCATCTTCATTTACAGGCTAGGAAACTCAGTATGGCCCAGGAAGGTGAACTCTATCAGTAGCAGGCAAAGAATACCATTACTACAGGCTCCTTCTGCTATTACTAAGGTAATATCAATACTCACTGAAAAATGGGAATTTGCTTTAGTTTCAGCTATTCATTGAAAGCACTGTTATGACTGTTAGGTTCACTGTTGTGTCCTCAGTACCAAGAGCAGTTGCTTGGCTCAATAACTATCTGTGGAATGGGTGAATTCCTCTTGCTGTCTGTTCCTCCTCACACAGATTGTAACCTGTGGGCAGGGCTGTTTGGGCAGAAAGGCTCTGGGTCCTCTTGGGATGCCCGTCCCAACACCCCTGCAAGATTCTCCTCACGGGGCAGCTTCCAGACCTGCCTTTCACTGCCTGCGAATTTTAACCTTTGGAAATATGTGGAAACCACTATAATTATTTTTAAATATATATTTTTGAGAGAGAGAGAGAGCGTGAGCATGAGCAGGGGAGGGGCAGAAAGAGAGGGAGACACAGAATCTGAAGCAGGCTCCAGGCTCTGAGCTGTCAGCACAGAGCCCAATGCCTGGCTCCAACTCACGAACCGCGAGATCATGACTTGAGCTGAAGTCAGACATTGTCGACCAAACCACCCAGGCGCCCTCAAAACCACTATAATTTAATGTTTCCACCAAGGTCCAGATAGTGTGTGAATATATCAAATTGAAATCAGTTTTTCACAATTGGTGGGCTTCTGTGATGTCCTCAGTCACAACACATCAAAAGAAAGATGTGTTATATGAAATGAAAAAGAAACATTTTTTTCTTTGAATGACTCCACGTCCACCACACCCTACCTGTAAGAGAAAGGATGTCGTTGTTTGTTTCAGGGGTTTCTGATGCTCTGCTAGTGGCTGTTTGGACATTGGGGGACCTGCTTCTGTTCTTTTTTTCCAACAGCCATCTCTCTCTGCCTGCCAGGGTGTTCTCTCTGCTCTTGGCAAATCTGGGAAGTAACTGAGGCTCCTAAATGCTCTCCTTGAGGCCTCAACAGGGTTTTAGGTTCTCTTAAGCTGTCTTCTTGAATGAGATGGTGGAATCAGACACACTTGTTTTATACTTCTTGCTCAGTCACGAGCTAGGTGAGCTTGGGCAAGTCATTAAGCCATTACTATTATTTAAATTTGAGAAGAAGACCCCGAAATCTAACCCTTAGAATTGCTAGATAAAGACAAAGACTCGGGGCACCTGGGTGGCTTAGTCAGACAAGCATTTGACTTTGGTTCAGGTTATGATCTCCCGGCTCGTGATTTTGAGCCCTGCCTCGGGGTCTGTGCTCATAGCTCAGAGCCTGGAGCCTGCTTCAGATTCTGTGTCTCCCTCTCTCTCTGTTCCTTCTGCTTTTCCTCTGATGAACCCCAATTCTAGCTGACAATGAGCACGTGCTGGAGCTGGGGGATGGTGTTTGAGAGTGTAGTTCTAATCCTAAAGCCTTATGTTCTATTTTAAACATTCCTGCAGAGTTCACATTGTATACCTTAATATGCCCATGCTTGGTTTGATATAAAATGGTGCTCTCTGCTCCCACATCTGGAATCATCATTCCAGGATGATAGCATATCGTGTGCCTCCTGCAACACTCTAGGACCTTTGGCATCATCTGCCTGTCCCTGCTCTGCTTCTGTTTCAAGGGCATGGGTGTCTGAGAGGGCATGACCACAGGGCCTGGTGCCTTAGTAAGCACAGGGCCTGGTGCCTTAGTAAGCCCGCTTTATTTTTCAGTTCTCTTTAAAAAAATTTTTTTTATTGTTTATTTATTTTTGAGAGAGAGAGAGAGAGAGAGTGCAAACAGGGTAGGGGCAGAGAGAGAGGGAGACACAGAATCTGAAGCAGGCTCCAGGCTCCAAGCTGTCAGCACAGAACCGGACGCAGGGCTCCAACTCACAAACTGCAAGATTATGACCTGAGCCAAAGCTAGAGGCTTAACCAACTGAGCCACCCAGGCGCCCCTTTTTCAGTTCCTTTTTCAAATCACATAATTCAAGTTGTTTAAATGTTTGTTTATTTTTGAAAGAGAGAGAGGGAGGGAGAGAATCCAAAGGAAGTTCTGCATTGTGCACGCAGAAGCCAATGTTGGGCTTGAACTCACGAACCATGAGATCATGACCTGAGCCAAAGAGTCATCTGTTTAACGCCAACTGAGCTGCCCAGGTGCCCCCAATTTGAGTTTTTAAATTGTGCTTTTTTCTAATTGAAGTACAGTGGACCAACAATGTTGCATTAGTTTCAGGTGTACAACATAGCGATTCAACAATTCTATATGTTATGCCAGAGAGCTCACCACAGCATAGCTGCCATCTGTCACCACATAGTGCTATGACAATTCCTTTGACGATATTCCGCATGCTGCACTTTTCATCCCCCTGGCTTATCCATCCATAACTGAAAGCCTTCACCTCCCACTTCCCTTCACTCCTTTTTGCCCATCCCTCCACCCCCCTCCCCACTGGCAACCACCAGTGTGCTCTTTGTATTTATGAGTCTGTTTCTGGGTAAAGCCTCTTTAATGTTGCTTGAAAATAATCTCTGGAATAAAGGATGAAGAGGTCAGTAGGTAAAGGGCTCTTTGGAGAACACCTGTTTGCCCTGCCCCTGCTGCCAGGCCTGCTGCCCCTCTGTTTTGATGTGGATCCACCCCCACCCCTCGGGGCCAGGCACTTGCTGCTTATTGAGTTTGTCAGCATTTCCCCCATGGTTCTCAGACTGACTAATTCGCCTGCCCTGCCTGATTGCTGAAGCCACAGGGCACTGCCTGGCCAGCACTTTTCAACATGGCATCTGCTGAGAGAGTGTAGGGCTGAGCCTTTAACTCTATCTCATCTATGTTGTGTGCATAACGTGTGAGCTCGCAGGGAGGTGGATGTGGGGGTGTACCCCCATGAGCTTGAGGGCTAGGCGCTGTGGGTTCTGTTCCTAGTGCCAGTAGATATTTCCCTGGATGGTCAGAGATGGCCAGAATGCTTGGACAGACTTAAGGCTGAGCTTCTCATCAATACTGAGGATAATTTAGGGGAAGAGTGGCATTGGGTAACTGAAACTCTTATCCTCATTTTGATGCAAATTTGAGGAATTATTTTTAACCATCTAGCTTGACCTTTTGGTTAGAAAGAAATCAGGATCAGTCACACACACACACACAAAAAAAGGTCAGGCTGAGGA